CGGTGCCATCGACGCCCTCTCGGTGAACGAACTCCTCGATGTCCTTTCCGAGGCTCCAGGGGGGAATCGCCTGGGTCTCTGGGCAGGCGAGATCCTCGACCACCCCCATCGGGATGGGCTCTATGATCGGCTTGAAAAGATATCCAAAGCCCACTGACAAAGCCTGCGAGACCCGAGTCGAGGAGACCCAAAATACCCTTCTGGCAGGACTGCGAAGGAGAAACGAAACGGAGCCTCAAAGCCTTCCTGAACACTTCGTCGCAATGTCTACCACAATTTCCCGCGTCTACAGACCCGCAGCCTCCTTCGCCGGCCGGATGCGAGCTGACTTGGACGTCGCGCGCGACGTAGAATCCGTCACCGAGCATCTCCCAGGCCCCGGAGCATTGCGCGCGGATGAGCGGGGTCCTGTCACTGTCCGCAAGTGAACGCACGCCATCGGCAGGATTGACCTGATGCCGCACAAGTCCCCGCCCTGCCGCCATCTGCCGCTCGCGCGGGGGCGAACGCACCTGCGCTGAGAGCGCTGCACACGCGGTTCGGGCCCAGGGCGCGCGAGCACGTAGACCAGCCCCCCGCCCCCGCCACGGCCTCACAGAAGCCCTCTGGCATCGCGAACGGGATCGCCACGATGCTGCGCTCCCTGGGCGACCTCGCGGCTCATCTGCGGCGCGAAGGGTCGCGTCTGCAACGTCCGTCACACGGGGCCCCCGAGCGGCCAGCCAGTCGACGGCGCCGTTGCCGAGATAGCTCTCGGTCGGGGAAGGGGGGCGCGCATCCCTGAGTTTCGTGGACAGCCAGCACTTCGCCCTGGCACACTACCCATCGCCAGAGTCATCACCAGATGAGCCGTCGCCATCCCCACCTGGGCCATCATCGCCGCCAGGAGGGCACGATCCATAGGATCGACATGTCGGTTCCCTGGAGGGCGGCAGGGCGCCACCGCCCCCCCCCCCCCCCCCCCCCCCCCTGGAAGGCACCGCCACACCCCCCCCTTTCCGAAGCCGCGGGGCCGTCTGGGACCAGGCGGAGTGCATCCGGGAAAGTAGGTCGCCAGGGTGACGCTCGCCGCTCTGCCCCCCCGTTCTCCTCTCGCCGCTGCGCAGCATCCACCTGCGCCTGGGGGCTCCTCGGCAGCTTCGGTTTCTGACAGCCTTTCGGACCGAAGAGGGAGCCTTCTCGCTCTGTCCTCCTGCGAATGGGCCTCTTGTTCGGCGCAGCGCTCCATTTCTCTCGTCGCCCTAGCGCGCATCTCCGTCAGTCAATGGCGCCCAGCCTAGGCCCTATCTTCAAAAGCTTCAAGTCGCTCGATGGTCTCATCGCGGGGCGGCCACGCCACCGCCGCCTCGGAAGCGGTCTCAACATAGGCGGGAGACGCCCCTGGCAACGGCGGGCGGTCGAATGGCACCGCCCTGAAAGCAATTTGGGACACGACGCGTTCTTCGCGCTGTCACCTGGCCCCCCATCCCGCTTTCTTCCTCTGATCAGGATGCCTCATCTCAGCTTCCTTCTCGTTCTTGGCGGCATCCGGGCAGCAAGCATCGCCACTCTGGGGCGTCAAGATTCCGCTCACAGAAGGCTCCGTCGCAGCGCTAGCAATCGCACTCACCCAGCAGCCGGCACAAATGACACCACTGGCCGCAGTTTGCTGAAACGGGGGCGGTTCCCTGGCCCGCCCCACGCCTCACCAGCGCGGGAGATATCGTCGCGCGTGCCACGCCGACGCTTGCCTGCATGAGGTGCTATTGCAGCTCCTGTTTGACGCGATGCTCGGCCCACGCCCGGCAAAGTCATTCGCGTCGTGCTTCCCAGGCCCCCATGGTCTGCTCAGCCCTCGCCTCAAAGGCTCGACACGCTGCCAGCGCCTCATATTTAGCTCGACACTTTGCGTGGGCGACTTGCCCCTGGGAGTCCCGCACCTCCGCGGCCACTCGAACACAGGGCGAGCCTGCCGCATCGGCAAGCATCCTTGCCTCGCGTCGGGCGTCTGACATACGCTTCTCGGTCTTCTCCGCCATCGCCGCGCCCTGTCGCGCGGCGGGTAGGACAGGCGCTTCCACGACAGCTTTCCCGGCATGGGCATTCCGCGGCGCCTCCTGAGCCTCGGCCATGATCATCACGCTGTTCGCACCCATCGGTTTGAGCTCCTGGGCGGCCCTCTGTCGGGCGACGGTCTGCGCCTCCGCAGCACCCCCAATCGCGGACCTGGCCCCCTCCGCCACGTTCTCCTCAAGAGCCCGCGCACGCCTCTTGCTCGCAGCCGACGCCTCCACCTTGCTGGCCAATTCCCTCAGCTCAGCCGACGCCATCAGCGACTGTTCCGAGAGGACTGCCCGCTGCCTTATCTCCATGTCCCGGAGGGCCCGCGCCATTTCAGCGCGGTCTGCTTCGGCCTGCAAACGCGCGCCAGTTCGCTGCTGAAGTTCGGCATTTGCAAATTGCCCTCGCTCGTGCGCCAGGCGATCGCCGCCCTGCGTTCATTCCTGCCCACGGAGCGCCATGCAAAAACAGGCAGCTGGCGCACAGAAGTCTGGGCAGAGGAATAGAAGGTTACACGGGCGGTAGCCTGATGAGCACCCGCGGCAGACGGGCTGCAGACACCGTCCGCGATCTCCTGGGCATCAGCCCTCAAGGAACTGGGCGCAGTTCGGCCCAGGTTTGGCGCAGGGTTCCTGGATCCGCGCGCTCGATGCGCTGGACCTGCCAGTGCAAGCGAGATCGATGCGCCACATGGGGCCCCGCCGGCACGGCCCCGCGCCGCCGGGGCGAACCTCTCCCGTGAGCGCGCGCGGGGGGCGGGCCGGCGCACTGAACTCCATGCGATGCTCGCTCGACGATCGTGCACTCGCGGGAGGATCGAGGGGCCCGGTGACTCGGGAACATGATTCCCCTCGTCGCCCCCCAGCTTGCGCAATCAGCACCACGCTCCCATGGTGCCCATCAGTCTTGGACCGCTCTCCGGTCGGAGGGTCTACTGATAGGTCGAGGGGCGGCCGAGGCTGTATGCGCGCCACTCCTCGCAGATTCCCTGGCTCCACCACTTTCGGCATAACATCGTCAGCAAAGAGGACGTATCGTCCTTCGTGATACCACGTCTCGGCTCGGCCGCTCGCCTAAGCGGTGGGTCTGTCGAGGCGAGAAGTTGCGGCAACAGAGTGACCCTCAGCCGTGATTCCGTCCAGTGCTGCGCCCATGCATCCAACCCCGGACGTCGACCTAGCATCACAAATTATCGATCCGATGGCAGAAGCGTTCCTCTTCCCGTCAGCCTCCTCCGCGGGATCGCCCTCCTGCAGCGCGTCTCGGCGGCCCGCGCCACGGCTCGATGGCGAGCATGCGCGGCCAGCGGAATCTGACCTGCTGGGAGGAACCGCGGCTGCACCAGGGACACGGTCACTGGAAGTCGCCGCGAGGGTCACTTTGCCCACTTTTGATTCGCCATGTCGACATGATTACTGGAGATACGGGCCATGCATTCTTTCCTCCTAGAATGCACTGATTCGGGTCCGTCATCATTCCGTACTCGTTTGGTCCCGACACCTCCGAGGCTTGCGACACAATCGCGTGATATCGTGGCGCTGATAACCCGCACTTTTGCGTAGTACTTCCGAGATCATGAAGACTGATATCCGCAGGCAAAGGCTCATGAGGTTTATGCTTTCTTTGATGTACTCGAAAAGTGTCGAATATTGGCCGCATGTTGTACCTCGGAGAGCGAACCTACTGAAATAGGTATGCGTGTGTGCGAGAGCGCCCGAAGCATGGAGAGGGGAGGGCGCGCCCGGTTTACCTATAAGCAGAAGTAGCTACAAGCATCAAAACCATCAGTGCTCTCATGATAAAAGGCGCCGCCAACCCTCTGTTAGAGGGGATAGGCGGCGCAGCAATAAAGGGTCAAGGGAGCGTTAGTAATGACTTCTTCTTCTTTATCATCACCATCACAATCATCCTCAGCAGCATCATGTTTAACAGCAGCATAATCATCATCATAATGATCATCAGCACCAGAATCAGCATCATCAGCATCACCATGGCCATCATCCTGACCAGCATCAGCATCATCAGCATCAACAACATTAGCCGCAGCATTAGCAGCAGCATAATCGTCATCATACTCATCATGCGCACAAGCATCAGTATCATCATCGTCATCACCATGCCTATCATCCTGATCAGCATCATCATCATCATTATAATCATCATCATCATCATCATCAGCATCATCATCATCATCGTCATCATCATCATCATCATCATCATCATCATCAGCGTCAGCCCCATCATCAACATCATCATCAGCAACAGCATTATCGTCAGCATCAGCATAAGATTCTGCATTAACACAGTCATCAGCATCGTCATTAGCATAATGCCCTCATTAGCAGCATCATCACCGTCGTATTCGTCGTTGACACCATCATATATCACGATAATCCCCATCATACTCATCATCATAATCAGCATCATCATCATCAACATCATCGTCATCAGTAGCATCATCATATTCATCATCATCAGCGTCATCATCATCATCAGCAGCATCAATATCGTCATGATCATCACCATCACCATCACCATCATCAACATCACAATGTCAGAATCACCCCCACTATCCCCATCATCCCCGTCATCCCCGTCATCCTCACCATCCCCATCACCCCCGTCATCCCCATCATCCCCATCATCCACATCCACATCATCCCCAGCACTCCCGGCATCCTCATAATCCTCATCCTCCCCATCACGGCTCTCCCAAGCCTTCAGACGCGAGGTGTCACACGTGACGGCTTCCCGTGCCCCCTCGAACCGTCGGCACCCAGAATGCTGGGCTGGCACGGCGGGACCTGCCGCAGGCAGCTGGATGGGTCGGCGATAGGCCCCCGACAGCGACCCCTCGCGCTCCTGGGCGGGATGGGCAGCCAGGACTTCTCGGCGATGAATGGGCGATTCGGCGTCGATGCTTCCCCCTGCGCCTATTCCCCCTCACGTTGCCCCCGAACCTCGCAAGCGCAGCTCCTCCGGCACGTGCTGTTGCTCCGGTTCGCCACCGACAGGCCGTGCAGGACGTCCTGCACCTCCTCGAACGACGACCACATGTTGAGGCCGCCGTGGGTGGCCGTCGGCTGGCTCTGGATCGTGTACATGGTGTCGATGACCTCCTTGTAGCAGTCGTCCTAGGAGGACGCCAACTGCCCAACTACACCGATCACGGCCAGGCTCATCCTGGGTTCAGATATGGTGTACACGCCCTTCTGGCGATATATCTAGATATATACAAATAAATGTATATATGTATAACTTCGAAGAAATGAAACGAACAGTATAATTCTTTCTCATCGTGCCGATGGGCACGGAAAGGGCGTGTCCTCAGGTCTTGGGCACAATTCTGTCAGCCTCAATCCTCACTCCTGAGGAGTCGTTATGGGGCCCAGACCCCAAATTGCCAAACCTACTGGGGCTTAGAGCGTCTTGTTGGGAGCTTGTCGCGTCTTCTCGCGTGACTCTTTCGGGCCCTAGACAGCCCAAGATAGGCACAGACCAGAGGACCTCAAGAGGCTCCCAATCTGGATCCAGACCAGCCAAGACCTGATGATCCCAATCTGAATCTGGATCTGGAACTGGGTCAAGAACCGTGCGCACATCAGAAGAATAACCGTAGACCTGTGCACTCAGGGGCGGGAATTGGGATCATGGATTTGGATTATACCAATCTGGATCCGGTTCCTGGTCCGGGCTCAGACCCGTGCGCACATCAGAATGAGCTGAGACCTGAACACAGGGACGGGTACTCAGATCACGAATTACAGATCCCAATCCAGATCCGATTAAGGATCCCGAGCTGGGTGTAGACCCGTGCGTACATCAGAATAGAATTCTGAGACATGTGAACTCCGGGGCGGGGATTGGGATCACGGATTCGGATCCAGATCCAGGTCCAGATCCAGGTCCGGATCCGTGCGCATATCGAATAAAAAGCTTAAGCCTGTGCACTCAAGGGCGGGGATTGGGGCTATCAGGATCCGAATCTAGATCCGGGTCCGGGCCCGAGCGTACATCAGAAGAAAATGCTGAGACCTGTGCACTCAAGGACGGGGATTGGGCCGCAGCAGTTCTTCAAGGATCATTCCAGAAACCTCGGGAATTCTCATGAATCCTCAGAAGCATCCTGGAATGCTCGAATTTTGAGGAACTTCAGGAATCCTGGAAGAATCCGATTGGAATCCGATTATGGTCTTCTTGGAATCCTATTATGAACGTGGTGGGATCCCGCACTGAGGGCTCTGGGTGCGGGACATGACTTTCAAGCCCTGGAAGGGGCGAGAAGTGATATAGTTTCGCCGAAATTGGGGGGCGATACTTGCAAGTCGCGGTTACTCGGGAATCGCGTTATCGCTAGAGAGTTCCGCACGATCCATGCACGACTGACGCTCCAGCGACCCGCCCGCTCGACCCCACCGTCCGGGCCCGCCCGCCCGACCCGCCCCGCCCGAACCTCCCGTCTGGTTCTGCTGCTTGCTCTTCTGCTCCTCACCCCTCCTGCTACAGTCAACCCGTATAATAAGGATGCGCGGTAAGGATGCAAGGGCCTCGGACGCCCATGCCGAGGCTCTTCGAGCGGGGCTGGCCATCGAAAGTGGTTGAGGATGGACCGAAGATGACCGAAGGGGCAAGGATGCAAGGGTATCCTTGGGAAGTCGATCGTCCTTACTGCGCGGGTTGACTGTAGTCTCTGTCGTGCTCCGTCCTTATCTCTCCCACTTGTCCCCTTCCTTGCGCCAGCTGCGGGGGCGCTCGGGCGCGCCTGGAACGTCGGGGCCCGTGGCGGTCTCCGCGGGAGGGCAGGGCAGGGCGCGCACCATTGACACAGCGCAGGGGAGCAGGAGAGCACCAACGAGCAACACGAGCATGATGATGCAGCGATGCGGAAGCAGGCGAGGTGAGGCTCCCGACCCCCTCCTGCTGCTCTCCGTCGTGTTCCGTCCTTCTCTCTCCCGCATGTCCCGTCCCTCCTCCCTCCTGCGACAGGGGCGGATCGCAACCTCCTCGGGCCTGCCGTCGACCACCTCGGACGGATCGCAGCGGGCTGCGAATCGGGACCGAGCGAACTGCGATGCTTCGGGGAAGATGTAGTACTGTTCTGATTCAGGGAAGGCTCTCAAGAAGGCTTCTGGATGCACTGAGTTCCCGTAGAACATCCAGAGGAAATTTAAACACGACACAAAAAAAAACAAAAAAAACGATCGGGCCGATCACCGACGGTTCGCTACACTCTCTAGAGACTCCCAAGAGACCCCCAAGAGGCTCCACGAGGCCCCCAAGACGCCAAAAGCCAAAAGAGACCTCGGCGAGAAGGCTAACATCATCAATTGTGCAAAAGGTTTTGGCCACATGCGTAGGCTTCCTGGGGAAACCCTGATGTACTACGGCCCCTCCTTTAATCGATCTCCTCCAAGATGGCCCCCGAGCAAGAGGGCTCCAAGAGGGCCAAGAGGCCCCAAGAGGTCCTCAAGATGCCCCTAAGAGGCTCCCAGGAGACCCCCAAGAGGCTCCAAGAGGCCCCCCAAAGGCTCCCAAGACGCTCCAATAGACCTCGGAGAGAAGGCCAAATCACTGAAGTCTCTAAGGTTTTAGCCAAATATGGGCCTCCGGGGGGGGGGGGGGGACCTGAGCAAGGAGCCCCCCTCCTTCGATCGATCTCCTTCCAGATGGCAAGATGGCCCCCCGAGGCTCCCAAGGGTGCCCCAAGACGGCCCCAAGAGGTGCCCAGGTTGCCCCAAGAGGCCCCCACGAGGCTCACAAGAGATCCCCAAGAGGCTCCAAGAGGCTCCCAGAGGCACCCAGGAAGCCTCAAGAGGCCTCCGGGACTGCTAAGAGACCCCCTAAGACGCCCCAAGAGGATCCCAAGAAGCTCTCGAAGAGATCTGAAGAGACTCCGAGAGGCATCCAAGAGGACTCTGGCCTTTCTGCTCGCCCTGATCACCCTCCTCCTCCTCCTCCTCCTCCTCCTCCTCCTCCTCCTCAATATCCTCCTCATCATTATCCTCCTCCTCCTCCTCCTCCTCATCATCATCATCAGCAGCAGCAGAAGCATCATCATCACAATCAGAATAATGATAATCATCATCATCATCATCGTCATCATCATCATCATCCTCCTCCTCCTCCTCCTCATCATCATCATCATCATCATCATCATCATCATCATCATCCTCATCCTCATCCTCATCATCATCAGCAGCAGTGTCATCGGCATCATCATTATCATCATCATCATCACCATCATCATCATCGTCATCACCATCATCACTATCAGCATCATCATCATCAGCATCATCATCCTCATCCTCATCATCAGAATCAGCATCATCCTCATCATCAGCAGCAGCAGCATCATAATCAGCAGCAGCCTCATCAGCATCAGAATCATCATCGTCAGCATGATCATCTGAAGCATCAGCATCATCATCATCGTCGTCGTCATCATCATCATCACCACCACCACCACCACCATCATCCTCCTCCTCCTCCTCATCATCATCATCATCATCATCATCAGCATCGTCATCATCATCATCATCATCATCATCATCATCATCGTCATCGTCATCATCATCATCATCATCATCATCATCATCATCATCATCATCATCATCATCGTCATCATCGTCGTCGTCCTCTTCCTGCTGCTTATCCGATTCCTCCTCCATCCTCCCCCTCTAAGGGTACGACGTCTTACCTAGCCCTTTCTTCCACAGCATTATCCTCCACATTCCTGATCAGGGCAGTTCGTCTGGACCTCGTTTCTGGATGGGCTGGCGGGATTGCGCGAGGCGTCTAGAGTATTCACCACTGACGACGACGACGCGCGAAAAAACACAGAGTCGGGCGGGCGGGTGGGACATGGAATGCAAGTGGCACTCTGTGATGGGACGGCGTCGAGGGTCGTCAGGAGTGCCTTAGGGCGTCTGGGGAGGAGCTCTTGGGGGCCTCTTGAGGGCCTCTTGGGAACTTCTTGGGGCCTCTTGAGGGCCTCTTGGGAGCCGATTGGGGCCTCTTAGGGGCCTCAAGGGCTCGAAATGTCGGTTCGTGTTCCCCCTCTGGGGTCTCTCTTGATCTTGGGGCCCTCTGGACTGCCTTGGAGGCCTCTTGGGCCGTCTGGAAGGCCACTTGGGCCGTCTCGGCGCCCTCTTTGGGGCCACGTGTTGGGGCGATATTGGGGGCCTCTGGAATCGTCTTGGAGCGTCGGGAAGCGGAACCGAAAAGGCAGGAACGCCAAAATCAATTTAAAACCATTGGAAAATCGATGAGTTTTGCCTCTTGGGGCCCTTTGGGGAGCGCTCGCGGAAGTTTCTTGGGCCGTGTTGGAGGCCTTTTGGGCCATCTGGAGGCCATCTTGGGCTTCTCGGAACGATATTTCGGCGACATGTCGCGCGACCTTGAAATCGCTGGCTGCATCTGATAGGCGACGCCAAGCCCAGCAGACTAAGCTGCACACGAGGTTGAAAAAATGACGGATGGCAATCAGCAAATATCGAGCGCCTGGCAACAGCGCTACCCTCAATATCAGGGTGTACCTAAAAGCGTCAGAGCGAAGGAGAGAAAGAGAGAGAGAGAGAGAGAGATGTATACATAGAAAGCATATATATATATATAAATATAGAGAGAAAGAGAGAGAAACAAAAAAAAGAGAGAGAGAGAGAGAGAGAAAGAGACCAGCCTTGCTGGCGGCCCGCCTGCCCCTCGCCAAGGGGGGCAGGTGGCAAAGCAACGACGTCCGGGGCGACCACCCCCCCGCGGCCCGCCTCTCGCGGGGCGAGGAGCCCAAGCCTCCACTGGAACAAAAAAAAAAGTCTCCCGCGCCGGCACGACGGCGCCGGAGCCAGAGGGGGGCGAGAGCACGCCGGGCGCCAGCCCGCGCGGAGGGGAGGAAGAGGACGGCGAGGGAGGTACCGGGGAGCGGGGGACGAGATGGATCGGCGGCGAGCGAGGGGGGGGGAATGAGAAGGAGAAGGCCTGCGCAGAAGGCTCGGAATTCCCCGGGCCTTCGGAGAAGTTTTCTAGGCCTTCCCCGAAGACAGAAAAAAAAACTTCTCGGAAGGCGCGAGGGCTTCTGAGAAGTCCCGCCGCCTTCAGAGAAGGCCTTCTCCTCCTCATTTCCCCCCCTCGCTCGCCGCCGAATGAAGGAGGACCTCCGTCCACTCCGCCTGAGATGGGCTCCGCCAGTCCGAGACCTGCAGTCGTCCCGTCGTGGACTCGATTAAAAACTCCCAACCCTGGCATCAGCCCGCCATCGCGGGGGAGATGGGTCGCACAGACGCGGTAAAGCAAGCTGCAGCAGCGCAGGCGCCTGCCACAATCACATGGTCCGCACGAGCTGCTTCTGTCAACGTCGCTCCTCCGCGCTACGAGTATCTGCAGAAGGACCGCCGTCCACTCCGCCTCAGATGAGCTCCTCCAGGCCGAGACCTGCAGGATAATGAGGAGGAGAAGGAGGAGGGGGAGGAGGAGGAGGAGGAGGAGGAGGAGGAGGAGGAGGAGGAGGAGCAGAAGGAGGAGGAGGAGGAGGAGGAGGAGGGGGAGGAAGTGGGGGATAAAAGGGAGGAGGAGGGGGAGGAGGAGAGGGAGGAGGAGGAGGAGGAGGACGAGGACGAGGAGGTGGAGGAAGAGGTTCCGTCGTGGACTCTCCTCCAACTGCGCCCGTCCCCCTCTCTCCCGCCTGCTCCTCGCCGGAGCTGCCCCGCCGAGCAACCCTCCCCGCGCTGACAGGAGCCGGCCATCTGCCGCACGGACGAGGCCCCACACTCCTTCCCTGCCTACGCCCGTGAGGAAGTGCGCGCGGGGCGATTGGGGGCACGCCGCTGTTTTGCCCCGAACTTCTCTTCGAGGGTGGCCCTGGGCACTGCTGCGCGGCACTCCTCCGCAACAGACGGTGGTGCGTGAGCACTTCGACCGGAAGGCTGGCAAACAAAACTTTTGCGGGCATCGGCCCGTGTGAAATCGGGTGGAATCTCCCACTCCGCCGCAGCTGGGCTCCGCCAGGCCGAGACCTGCAGTCGTCCCGTCGCGGACTCTCCGCGGGGCGCAAGCAGGGGCTGACCAGCGCCAAAGGAGGGATGAGATCGGGATCGGGCTCGTGGAGTTCGCGCGTCTGCTCTAAGCCATCGCGAGGGCTTAAATACAAAAAAATCGCCATGAATGATTTGTGAGTGGCCGAGATCGGTTGGCCTGCAACCTTGCAGTCGACACCCGCTCACAGACGCCAAAGGAGGAGGGGGAGGAGGAGGCGGAGGAGGGGAAGGAGGGGGAAGGGACGCTGGCAGCCGCTTATGAGCACTGGGCTGCTGGTGTGGCGGAGGGCCCCTATCACTATATTCAGACTCTCTCCTGACTGGTTGCCTGGCTTCGTGGACACTCAGCGCACGAGAAATGCGTAATTCGCGAATCGGCGTCGCGCAGAAAACCTAACGCTCCCAGCAACAAGTATACAGCTGTGAGCTGCATGCAATCCTGCACGCGCGCCCAAAGTGCAAAAGCAACTAACTTCGAATCAAATCAAAATTAGCCTCCACTGTGCGATTTCACCATATGTTTCTGGCAGATACCATTCCTACCATGTGGGACGCCTTCGCTCTGCGAACTGGCTCGGGCTTCAACACCGACTCCAAGCATGCCAATATTATGTCGTCGTGCACGTTACCCATAATCGTCATCGCCTCCTGGTGGCAACCATGCTGGGAGAAGAACTCGAGTATCCGCCGTGCGGCACATGCGATGGTCTCTCCACGGCGCCACCGGACGGACAACTCGAGCGAACCATGCCCGCAAGCGGTCTCCAGGAACAGCACCCCTAGACTCCAACAATCTGCTGGCTTGGGCAAGTACGGTTCCTCCAGCGCCGTCTCTGGAGCGACGCACGGCAGAGATCCGCACAGGGTCTCCCTTGTGCTGGAATTTGGAACGTGGGCTGCCATGCTGAAGTCCACAAGGCGGCAAATGTGCCGATTACATGCTATCTCTACTGCCACGTGCCTCAAAGACAATTGCCCTTGGACGACATCCTGGGCGTGGCAGTAGGAAAGAGCACTCGCGACCTGGGCACTGCAGTTCACGGCGTCGTCCCTGGACAAGCGGTGGTCTGGTTGAGTGGACAAAACTTGCTCCATGTAAATGTCGCCACCATACTGGAGAACCACATATACATGACGCTTGCTGTGCAACATGCTTACGCAACGGATGATGTGTGGGTGGTCAAGGGTGT